TCTTGTTGTATCGAGATTGGAAGAATATTATAAAGCAAGACTATTCGATTTAAGCAGCAACGCATGGACTTCCTTTAGTATCGCACTGTGGTACTATGGATTCACAAAAATTCAAGGCCACCACAGATTGTTGGCGGCTGCTATGGTGGTAGAGAAGTATTACAAAGATACTATAAGAGCTGAATTACTGAGAAGGAGAGCGCAGGACTTATCAACTTTATTTGAGAAATTGTTCTGGAATGAAGAGAAAGGATACTTTGTCCAAGTCATTTGGCAGGACAACAAAAAGCAGAAAGTGATCGTCGACACATTGACTGCAACTATCGCGTTCAGTGACATTGTAACCGATCAAATAAAGATAAAAAACACTTTGATAACATCAGAAAGTTCAACACCAAACTTGAATACGGCATTGCAATATATCCACAAGACTCAAACTTTTATTCTCCAAAGTGGAACAATGAAAGGAAAAGAAGTTGGTGAAGCAACCCCACTATGGGGAGAAGCTGTATACTAAATCACCGGCGACCCGATTATGCCATCAATGCCTGATGCATACAAAAGGGTGTGTATGTCATGATAGCGTTTCAGAATCAACAACTCTTCCACTATTTAATTATAAGAAGTGGTAATTTGGTAGTTTCGTAATTATTGTTAAACTATCACATGTGTGTTGATATAAAATAACATAATAAAGTATTAGTAAAGAAAATTAATTAATATCAAACGGGAAAAGGCGACCGATACTCAATAATGATCATTGGAAAAGACTTTGCAAGTGTCAAATATTTCAAAGTTGTTATGATGGTCATTCGAAAAATGAATTTGTTGAATAAAATGTACCACTTTAATCCAGTACTTTTGACATCACAAAAGGAAAACAACTTGTTCCCGAACATACTTACCACCTCGACTCTAAGAGTGATTTTGACACAAAAAAATTCCAAAAAGGTCATTTATGATTTAATGACTTACGAAGACATATTGGTCTTCCACAGAACATCGAGTGCACAAATATTGTGTTTGGTCGAGAAGATGTCAAATCTTTGGTGGTGAAACACCAACAAAAGAGGTGCAGTCGTTGTCACGTTTCAAATCATTAACTGAACAACTACAGTCTGTCTCAAACGTTATCTGGTACCTTTTGGACCATAAAGATTAAAATAATTCGGAAAGCCGTGCCAAAAATCTATCCCAATTGTTTCGAGTTTTTCATGTTTTACCCAATGCCCGATTTTTAGACAAAAATAAAGCTATTTTTTGTCCACCAGATCACATTTGAGACTAGATAACGTTAAAAGATTGACTTTTTAAACATTAAAATATTATCTATTTAAGTTTTAAAAATAAACACATTATTTATTAATTGTATTTATATTATTTTTTATAGTAAGTTGATATAAATGAATTAACATATTATTGCTATAGTTTATTTTGTTATAACCTAACTGGAACTTTTTAAAACATTGGAACTTTTCAATTCAAAATTTTAATGATTACGCCCAATTATTTGTTCTATTTTCTATTATCAAAACATTTTGATGCATTTTATGATTCCATTGCTATTATTGTTGTAATTATTATTGTTAATAATATAATTAGTGGTTATTATTATATATAAATTCGATATTTATCTCGATAAAAACACTATGTTATATACTGTATTACATATTCATTAGATCAAATAAGTTATAATTAACAATTAGATAAATACTTGTCACTCTAATGACTCATGAACATCTCATACAGTCCGTGAATCGTTTGCTTTGTCTTTGACTATTGCATTGTCTATTTGATAAACTTTATTGTCTTTGAGTAGTCTGTCCTGTTTTTGAGTATTATCTTATTTCTTTGATTATTTCATTTTTTCTTTGAGTGTGTTGTTGTGTATTTGAACATCGCCTTATGTCTATGAACATTACACTCTCTATGATTACATTGTATTGTCGTTATAAATTGCTAGAGTCAAGTGTTGTGGCTATTGTAATTGAAATAGTGTTGTAATTAATTATGGTTATTGTTACTAATATGGTTATTAATATTGTAATATTAAATTAGTTATTATTTAAACTATAAGTTTATATTTAAATTTTATAAATATAAATTATGTACCAAACAATTTAATTAATTTCTAATACATTATTTAATTATGTATAGTTTATAACTATAGTATTGATATTATTTGTTATATAGTATATTTAATAATTAACAAATATTTTTGAGTTTTTGAGTTTGATTATTATTATTTAATATAGTTTTAAAATATAAATATATAGTTAGTAACGTTAAATATAAATATGAAAATAAACCTCTATTATTATTAGTTGTTTTATAGCAGTTTTAATTATTAATTATTGGCTTTTTGGCATTATTCGAAATTGATTAGGTTTATTTTATTACATATTATTAATAAAAATACAATTATTTAATAGATTGTTATTTCATTATTATTTGTGTTATTAAAATGTTATTTGTAACTATCGGGTTGACGTGTAAAACAGTGCTGCAGTTGTCACAATTTTTGTGTTAATTATGGCAATCACAGCAGTAATAAAATATAAACCGATGTTTAAGTTTTTTTATTGGCTTGTTTTCCCATTACTTGGCCAAGTATTGATTCAAATAACTATCTATTTCTAAGTTTTTTCATTTACAAAAGTCAGCTTTAAGCTCGCCACTAGATCTAAAAGAAC